TTTTTTTTTTTTTTTTTTTTTTTTTTTTTTTTTTTTTTTTTTTTTTTTTTTTTTTTTTTTTTTTTAATTTTATTCTTATCGACGCCCTATAGGGGGGACGAGGCCCCTATCGATTCATTTTTCTTTCTTTTTTCTTTCCTTTTTTCTTTTAATAAAATAATTAAATATTAATTTATAATTTAAATAGAATAAAATAAACAAATGCAATAAATAATTTCTTTGCTAGGAAGGGGACAACAAAAAAAGAAAAGAAGGCTGCGGTCTTCTATTCAGCCCCGCAGCAGCAGCAGCCGATACTGCTGCTGCTGCTGCTGCATGCGCTGCTCCTGCTGCTTAAGACTTTGGGGCTGCATGCCAATATTTATATTTAATTAAAGGATTAAGGAGACAGTCTCTTGCTGCTGTCCCTAAATAAGTCATTCTTCTTCCCTGTGGGGCGAGGAGGCCCTGGGGCCCCACACCTAGGTCCTGAGCATCTGCAGCAGCAGCAGCAACAGCAGCAACAACAGCAGCAACAGCAACAGCAACAGCAGAAGAATCAATAAACCAATGGCTGGGGGAGGCCAGCTAGCCTTTAGGGGCCCCAAGGCCAAGGGGCCCCCCAAGGGTAAAAGCAAGGGGGGCCCCTGGAGGCCCCTAGGGGCCTCTAAGAAGAATTGGGCCCACAAGAAATCTGCTGCTGCTGCTGCGCAGCAGAAGGAGAAGCAGCAGCAAATAAAGAGGGAGGATGAGGAGGAAAGCGGCAGCAGCAACTATGACAGCAGCAGCGGGGAGGAGTCTGAATCCTCGACCTCAGCAGCAACAGCAGCAACAGCAGCAACAGGAGCAGCAGCAGCAGACAGCGACAGCAGCAGCAACAGTGTCTCGTCAGCAGACAGCAGCGAGGAGTTGCGCTGCAGCAGCGACAGTGATATAGAGAGCGAAGAAGGTGGAGTATATGATGAAGAAGACATGGGGGCCCCCATGGGTGGGGGCCCCCTGGGGGCCCCCAAGGGGGCCCCCAATGATGGTCTTAAGGAGGCACTAGGGCAGCAGCTAAAGGGGGACGACGACGGATTCTTAGATTATGTGTTATCTGCTGCATCTAGGGAGGAAGGAGAAGAAGACGAAGTAGGCAGCAACAGCAGCAGCAGCAGCAGCAACAATTACGAGGACAGCAACGGGGAGGAAACAGATACAGAGAAGGAGAAGAAGCAGCAGCAGCAGCAGCAGCAGCAGCAGAAGCAGCAGCAGCAGCAAGCACGAAAGCTGCTGTCACAGGAGCGTTTCTTAAGTATATGCAAGGCTGTAGGGATAGACCCTTTAGATACCAAGAAGGAGCAGCAGCAGCAGCAGCAGCAGCAGCAGCAGCAGGGGCAGCAGCAGCTGCTGCAGAGCTATAGAGGTGCTAAGCTGCTGCTAGAGGCGCTGCACTCTGCTGTGCTGCAGTTGGCACCACGTAAGCAGGAATTAACAGCAGCAGCAGCAGCAACAGCAGCAGCAGCAGCAAGTGCTGGTGAGCGCAGCAAATTCAAGCTTGCTAAGCAGCAACTAGATGATGAGGAAGCAGCACAGGAGCAGCAGCTGCGCAACAAAGCAGCATTAAAACGTCAGCAGCAGCAGCAGCAGCGGCTGCAGCAGCAGCAGCAGCAGCAACGTAAGGGGGGCGTATTTATATTACCAGACAAAGACACGTGTGTCTTTGTTATATTAGTTGTAGTAAGGAGAGCAGACATAATATTTACTGGTCTTTCTTCTAAGGGAGATAAGCCAGCAGCAGCAGCAGCAGCAGCAGCAACAGCAGCAGCAGCAGCAGCAGCAGCACAAGGAGGACGCATGCGGTGGCTCCTTAAGAGTTTCTGGGGGGATTTAACACATTTGCTGCTGGAGAAACGCAAATCAGCAGCAGATGATGATGCAGCAGATGCAGCAGCAGCAGCAGCAGCAGAAGCAGCAGACACGGATCTGTTGCTGCAATTGCTGCTAGCTATTAGCAGCAAGCTGCTGCTACGGTGGGTACTGCCACTAGAAGCAGCAGCAAGACGTTTGCTGCAGGCAGTCTGCCGCTGCTGGGCATTCTCTAAGCAGCAGCAGCAGCAGCTTGCTGCATTTGCTGTGCTGCGCAGCGCCTTGCTGCTGCAGCAGCAGCAGCAGCAGCCAACAGCAGGAGTAGATGGTGCAGGTCGATCCAAAGGACACCAACGTGGTGCTGCTGCTGCTGCTGCTGGTTCCTCCTCTTCCTCATCAGCAGCAGCAGCAGAATTAAAAGAGCAGCAGCTGCTGCAGCAGCTGCTGCGCTGCTACCAGAGAGCAGCAGCAAGATTGGGGCTGCGTCGTACATGGCGAGCAGCAAATCGCATGCATTTGCTGCTAAATGAATTAAGAGAACTAATTGCTGCTGCTGCACCTAATACTGCATATAGATTAGCTTATCAATCTATAAGAGAGGTAAACCCTAAACCCTAAACCCTAATAAACCCTAAACCCTAGAGGGCTGAACAGCAGCAGAAGCAGCAGCAGCAGCAGCAGAAGCAACAGCAGCAGCAGCAGCGGTGTGTTTTTTGTGTGTGTTTTTGTTTAGCTGGCGTTAACGGTTAGGAGTGCTGTTGCAGCAGGTGGTGCTGCATCATCAGCAGCAGCAGGGACAAGCAGCAGCAGCAGCAGCAGCAGCAGCAAGAAGAGCAAGGGCAGCGGGAAAAAGAAGGATTCAGCATATAAGAAGAAGCATAGGCAGCAGCAAGCGCATGCATTGTTGTGCTGCTGGCCTTTTGTGCTTAGCTGCTGCCTGTGGGGAGACGCGGTGTCTCTGCATGCAGGGCACCTTAAGCCTCTGCTGCTGCCTCTTGTGTCTGTTGCTGCTGCTGCTGTTAAGCTGCAGCAGCAGCAGCTAGCTACTGCTCCCTTCTGTCTTAATTTAATTGCTGTTATTGCTAGGGCTGGTGCAGCAGCAGATGCACTTGTTCCTGTTGCTGCACCTCTTCTGGCCGTGCTGCAGCTGCTGCTGCTGCAGCATGCTGCTGTCTGTAGGCGCAGCAACAGGCCTGCACTGGGGCAGCAAGGAGCAGCAGCAGCGCATGCAAAAAAGCGCAAAATGGCTGCAGCAAATACGCATGCAGCAGCAGGAGAGCCTCTTAGGCTGCAGCAAGCTGCTGCAGCGCATGCAGAGACATGCCTTAAGTTAGATCAGGCGCAGCAATCATCTATCCATGTAAGCTGCTGCTGCTGCTGC